CGCCATGTTTCTCGTCCCTCGTCACCTCACGGCTCCGGGGCTGCCTCCCCTGCCTGGGGAGCATTTCCCGGTTCCCCCCCTCTCCCCGCCTGCGGCCCTACAGCGAGGGGCCATCCTGGCAAACACGCAGCGCTTTTTCTCTCTTGCCTCCTGTCTTGTCCCTTCCCCCAGTCACGGAAACCCAGCTTGCCCCCTTCTCCAGACTCCGAAGCCTCTCGTCTGAGCAAACAGGTGAAACCACGGCAGCCTCCAGCTGGTCCTGGAGCCCCCGGTCCGACCCAGCTCGCCCCTGGGTGCCTGGGGCAGGGGGGAGCTGTGGGGAGGTGGCCGGTGCCTTGCACCGAGCCTGTGTTTGGGTGGGGGGTCTGTGACAGCAACGAGGAGCTGATGATGTCCATGGCGTCTGAAGCTCCAATCAACCCACTGGGCATGACAGGGACGTGTGAGGAGTCACAGTCATGGAGGTACAGCTTCATCCCTGACTACCTCCAGAAGACACATTACTGGTAATGGAAACCGCCGTACTGCAGCGTCGCAGTGTGAGACGTTTTAACTGTGACCCAGGAGCATCGCAGCGACATCAAACAGGCTCAGTGCCTGACACCAGTGCTGAACTTCTGTCGCTCTCTGATGGAGAAACTCTTCTGAACTCTTAACGCTTGCTGGAATCACGTCTCTCCAGGGGTGAGAGTCACTCTGCCACACTGTGACCCGTCGCAGCGAACTGACTCTGCTGTGGGGCCACGTTGCAGCAGATGAACAGCAGACAGCACAGCCTTAGCTGCTCCACTCCTTCTGCAAAAACAGACCCCTCTCAGCCAGAGAGGTTTCTGCAGAGTTTTCCTCATTAGTTGCCTGAGAAGGGGGTAGCTGCATAGATCAGGCTTCTAGAAAGTCAATACCCAAGCGTGGCTGGGAATACTGCTTGCTGGTGCCTCGTATTCCCTCCAGCAGTCAGAGTCTACCAGGCCTAACACAGACCACAACCATTCCCCTTCAGTCAAGGACTCAGCATTCAAATGAAGCAAAGTCAAACTGTGCTGTGAGCAATGGGATGCCTTGCCGGAACAGTTGGAGAAAGCAGAATGAATGTCTGTTCTTAGGGAGTCATTTTTCTGTTGGTAATTGAAAACTCTTTGCTCAGTTCAGCACGTCAGTCTCCTAAATTACACAATACATTTTCACAACAGCCTGCAAACCTTGAAAGAAACCAGTGCAGAGGCTTACACCCCTGCTTCTCCAGCGTAGCTCCAACTCATCCTGGCAAAACAGGCTCTGCACCACAGCTGTTGAAAGGTAATCTTGGGGACCCACCACTGAGAAGAAATGAGAGCTATGCAGCCCACAGCCTCCCCTCTAGGTGAGCTGTTAGAAAGGAAATCAGAACATGAATTCTTATAGGTTTGGAAAATCCAGTGCATTGCTTTTTCTTAGGCTTCCATGGAGGAGGAGCAGAAAAGCAACCAGAAGCACTGGGGAGCCATGTGGAGGGAGAGAGGTCATGGTACCATCTACAGCTTCTTTCTTAAAACTGTCAGAGGTGGGTGTCTGATTACAAAAGGTGAGAATGCTGCTGTTAAGGAGGGCAGGGCCTTCCTGTGAATTGTTGGGATTTCTTCACAACAAGCCACCAGAAAGTGGTCTAATTGTTAGGCAGTGGCTGCTAAGCTTGCAGTTCTTCTGTCTGTGCACGGCCCTTGAGGAAGAAGAACCCGTGTCAGGAGCAGGAGTAATGAGGACCCCTTGCACAAACCTCTGTGGTTGGTAGGACAATGGGCCAAGAAAATCCATTGCTACTTAACTGCGATCTGATAAAGGAGGGAGCATCAGGCATGCAGGCCTGAAGCATGACACACAGCACATCTTCATGAGCCAGACCCACTTCTGGAGAGCAGTGGAATGAGTCCATCAAAGGGGGTGGCGTTGTCCAGACATCCCTGCAAGCACAGCACAGGGTATCGCCCTTCATGGTCCCCAGGCCTTGGCTGCCACATGTCCTGGGGCACAGAGAACTTCACCTCTGAGAACTCATACCCACAAGCAACATCCTATGATGTCCCAGGGAGTCTGCTAACAGCCAGGAGCTCTGGAGAGAGCTTGTAGGTAGGTGGTAGTTACCAAAGTTGCCTATCTGGCAGCCCTGACTGCTGCTTAATACCAGAGTTTTGGCACAAGCCTTGTTTGGGGTAACTCTGGGATCCTGCTGTAAATGCTTGCCCTGGTGGTATGTGCATCACCACTCACAGGTCTTGGACCCCCTTCCACACCACCTTGGGCCCACTTCCTCCGCTCCAGCAGCCAGTAGGATCTGGGCTCTCTTTGCTTTGAGTCACAGAAGTAAGCTCTGGGGCTTGGGTGGGACTGTTGCGTTCTTTAGTGGATTCTGACTCCTGTGACCTGAATCCCAAGTCACTTCTGGTAGGAGGCTCCATCAGCAGGCACCTCATGGGAAAGGAAAACTGCCTCACTGAAATCATCAGCAACAGGTGATGCGGGATGGAGCTCCAAGTGGAGAAGGTTGCACTGGGATGCAGCCCTGGACCCTCCCTCAGCAGCAGTACTGTCATGCTATTAGCCAAAGCCAGATTGTTGAGATCTTCTCCAGGTCCCTCAGGTCTTCTCTAGCAATGCTACTTACCCCTCTGAAAGAGCAGCCCAGCATCTTACAAGACTGCAGATCTCTCTCTGCACCTGCTGGCAAACCACCCCCCCAGGAGGAGGGCCCTATGCGGGATGCATGGCCAAATTTCTATGGCTCGCAGAATTCATTTTGCTGAATCTACTTCTGAGAAGTGCTGCAGGCTACTGAAGTGGAATTGCTGTTCGTGGAGGACCAAATTAGACTCCACCTTGAAAGGTGTTGGCTGGGCTGCACTGAGATGGTGGTAAAAAAGGCTGGTTTTGCACAAAGAACTGGGAGTTAGAGTTATCCCATGTGCTTTGCAAAGGATAATTTAACCTCTGTGTCCTTGCAAAGGAGGGGGAGACCTGCAAGGGTGAACACTGGGACATGCAAAGCTGCTGTGCTCCGCTGACTTGAAACAGCATTGATCAGTTTGTGCTGGCTGCAGATCTGGTGAGGAAACTTTAAGTACAGCAGATTGATAGCTACCATGGGACAAATTCCCCATAGCTGGTTGGATTCAAGCACTGAAGTACTGACATATTGATCTATTTATGGTGATTTATTAGTAATAGCCCTGTACCCCAAACTCTTGTGCAGTTATACAAGTGAAAAAGCATGCTATTGCTAGCTTAACCGATTTCTTTCTGAGGATGTATGGAGCGATACACCTCTATATAAAGCCCTGCATTTGAGCATATGGTGCAATCTACAGTGGACAGGAAAAATAAAAGAGATCAGAGGGCAGCATGTATCACATAACCAGCCCCAGCACGCTGGCTCCCAGGCTCTGGGTTTGCAGGTGGCAGGCAGGTCTGGGGTGCTGTTGGGGCCTGCAGAGCAGTTCCTGCCCTG